ATTGCAGCTAAAATATAGAACAATCAACCTGAATAACCAACTGAAGACCAATTGATCAGAAATCTTATAACCAAGGATTTATAGAAGAAGCCACATTAAGACTGATAGGACAGATACATGGTAAGGACTAGTCCTACTCCAATGGAAGATCTCAGCTATGAAAGTTCCACCTAAGGATGTGGAATATCAAACCCATGAGGGGTTCCCAAAACCAGAGCACCAGAGCTGGGAAGAGGTGCCCGCATAATATTTGGCTGTAAAAATCCTCAGGGATTCCAATCTCTGCCAAGGAGAGGTGATAGTCTGATAGAGACACTGGAACCTTCTTAAAGGGCTAGCACACAAAATCTTGTTTGCATTCACTCTGTGCTCTGGCAGAGAGAGGTCAGAAAAGACTAGAGTCATGTGAGAAGAGATTAGGGTTTGTAGTTCTGGGGAGAAAGCTAGAAGGGACAGCTACCAGGACCTTTATTCTTAGTCCTGATAGCCCTCCCACAATGCAGAAACCATCTTTCTTGGGTGGAACACTCCCCTCTTTATGGCATAAGCCTGGGGGAATGCAGTAGCCCCCTCCTCCTTTTGGGTTCCCTATCACCCCACCCTACAGGGATCAAGCCATGAGGGGGAGTCAGCTGCCAGGTCTGGAGTGTAGAGATCTGGGCAGATTCAGGAGATGTCAGTGACTGAGTGGTACGGCTTTGGGGTGAGGGCTATTTCCCCACTTTCCCATTAACCTGACTGGTGCCTCACCCTCATGAGAGACCCACTAGCCCCACCCTTTGAGGTCCCAGTGGCCCCACACTCCCAACTTCTAGTAGCCCCTGCACATACTAGTAATAACTAAATACTTATTCTCATCTCCCTCTAGAAACAAATCATAAATTAAGAAACTGAATTTAGTTGTATGGCTCTGGGCCTGGACCATTCATTTTTACTTCTTCCAAGCCTGACCTGAACCTTTCTACACTAGAAATCCACTACCCTTCCAACTCTTAGGCTGCTCTTGCTGAGCTCCAGCTTCTAGCAGAATCTGGGACAGACAGAGTTGTGTGGCCCTAGGACAGGGGCCATTGTTTACTTGCCTGCCCAAGTAATGCAGAGCCCTCCCTTCATGTGGCCAAATCTCAGTCTATTTGGAACTGCTGAACTCAGCTGACATCCACACCGATGACTCCCTGAGCCCCCCCCCCCCCCCCAAAGGTCTGTGAGCACCTAGAGGTCAGCCAAGCAATATATCCTGGGTCATTTGCTGAGTAATCTCAGACCCAACCCTGGCACTGAGTTTAAACCTCTATCAACCTGTTGAACACCACTCACCCTTGCCTGGTGACTCGCTAAAATCCTACTTTCTGCAACTTGAGTACTGCCGGAGGCTCTTTCATTGATTGCAACTAACAGGCAGCCGGCAGGTGGAGGCAGGCCTTGGGTGCCTTAAGGCTTTTGCTGATCTTCCCCTGAGACCTATGTTGGTAAAAGCTGGCCTTGATGCACACCTTGGTCCTCCCTGTGCACAGCCAGGCGCAGCAGGGACAGCCACAACGTGTGGATTACTTTGTAGCTCCAAACAGGTTGCCCAGGCCAGTCATAGGCAATGGCTGGCACCAGAGTCCCTCCCAAGAGGCCTCAGAGGCAACATACCCTATGGCCAACTTCAGAAAACACCAGAGCAGAATCTAATTAGCTTCATAATTGGCATATCCAAAAAAAACCCCACCAAACTCATAGAGACAACAGTATGGTGATGACCAGAGGGGTGGTGGAAGGTAGATGAGGTAAAGGGAGAATAAATGGTGACTAACAGGGACTTGACTTTGGGGTTATGAGCACACAATACAACACACAGAGGATGTATTACATAGAATTGGACACTTGAAACGTAATTTTATTAACCAATGTCAATTCAAATTCTAAAATAAAATACGTATTTTTAGAAGTAAAAACTGACCTACTTAGTCTCTATAGAATATAATGTATACCATTCAGTGGTGTAAAAAGTGAAGACTGTAGAGAAATAATAAACATGCCACAGAAAAGGAGATCTGGAGAACAAAAGTAAAAATCAAGGCATTTAAAAAATAACTTTTAAGGTGACAATACTTAAGAAAAGCACTCAATTAAGTATTGGCTGAAACAAGCATTAAGACACCAAAAATGATAGAATTGCATAGGATGAGGAATATAGAAGAATAGAGAGGAGACAAAATGTATTAATATAAATAAGGGAAGAAAGGGTTAAAAATTGTTTTGGCTCTTATTTATTTACATAAACAAGCTATTCTCTAGCAAAGAGGAAGATTAATGTAATGCTCCTGAGCAATAAAAATGAACAGGAAGGAAGTATGTTTCGACAGCAAAAATAAAAAGTCATATTTTTATGAAACTAATAATGACTAAACATATTCTCAACTCCCTCCAGTAACAAATCACAGATCAAGGAACTGTATTTAGTAGTAGCAGATTTCCAAAGGAACCAGCAAGTAGCCACAGTGTATTTTGGCATGTAATATTTAGTCTAAAAATAATGAAGCAATATCAGACACCAGAGGTAATCTACTATAGATGCAATAGTCCTCGTCTCTGTTAAGAGGAGATAATATTTTGTTGTCTGTGTAAATATTAGTAAATAACTAAATATCCTTAATCTTAAAGTAGAAGTTCCTAGGAAGGAAGAATATATTCAGTGTAACTAATTCTGAAAAATCAACCCAGCTCTCTTATCCTTCTGCAGGTTCATTCTTGAGTAGCACATTTAAAATCCTACAGTTCTGGGACAAGTCTAGGTTATTCTCATATTATAGGCTAAGTTGTATCTGATTTAAACTTATAAGATTTCCATTAGTTTTACAGCAAGATCTGAGTGATATTGTGGATTTGGATCAAATTAGAATCCCAGATAGCCTCTTTGTTTGTGGGTGACTTGCTCATTTCTCTAATTCTATTGTTGGGGCTTGGCCAGAATTTAGCCAAACTCCATGGTGGCAAGGACATCTGAGCATTTACCTCAATGTGTTCAACACATTGTCAGATCGAGAGATATATATGCATCACAGAATGGAAAGTTTTGGTTTCACAGAGCATTGGAAATACCTCCTAAGAAGAGAAGTGTCTGTTTGGATTAGATGGTTTCCAGTTAAACAGATGGGGTACCAGCCTCCTGGGTTTAAAACTGGCAGAACCTTTTAGGGCATTCAATAAAAGAATCCACAGTGTTTAAAGAGGAAGCAGAAACAGTAGGGTCAAAAACATGACATATTTTTGCATGCCAAATAAAAAACTTAACATATCTACAAGTTCAATGTGCCAATAAATTTGATTCTTTGACAAGTAAAATTACATAAATTAATGGAAATTTTGACTTTTTTTAGATTTCAACATTTTGGCCTACAGTCAATGGATTTGGCATAAAAATTTTATAGAAAATTTTTTTCTGTGGTTTAACATTATGATTGTCCATGACAAATGGTGGTTTCTTTCTTCTACTCTAAAACCAAGTCTGAAGCTACAAGTAAAGCTCAATCAAAAGTAAGTTCAAATTAATTTAATAATCATATACTTGTTACTTAATAATATTTGTTACTTAATATGCTCTTCTAAGTTCTGTGCTAGTTTCAAAAGGCAAATAATACTTTGTCTCTGCCTGCAAGACTTATTATCCAAAATATTAGTTCTCCACATTTTATCTTGTTTCCACATTCATCATTTGGGTAAGACATCCAGAAATGAATCCTAACCTAGAGGTATGACCTTCTTAAGGATCTTCACAACTGCTTGTCATTTGCATATTATTGATTTCTAGGGCAATGGTCAGGAAAACTGTGGCTCACAAGCCACATGTGGCTCTTTGGCCCCTGAGTTTTTAGTAAAGGCCAGCTTAGGAGTATCCTAATTAAGTTAATTACGATGTACCTACCTATATAGTTTAAATTTTAAAAATTTGGCTCTCAAAAGAAATTTCAATTGTTGTACTGTTGATGTTTGGCTCTGTTGACTAGTGAGTTTGCTGACCACTGATCTAGGGGAAGAAAAGCAATCTAAAATTCAACAGATAAAGCAAAGGCTTTCAGGCATTATTTAGAAATCTAAAGCAAATAAAGCAGAGGGAAGACAATTGAGTTAGTTTGGCATGATTTTCTTAGATTCTTTTGGTCTGTCCACATAGACTATTGATCATTCTATGTTCTGGAATTCAGGAGAGAAACTTGCCTTAAATATACGGATTGCAGGATGAGCCACACATGGGTAGAAGTTGAAGCTATACAGATAAATTTGTGTGGATAATGGGCATACAGAGGAGACAAAATGACAAAGGAAGTGAATATGTTGTAAAAATCAAAGGATAAAGTATTTCCATAAAAGAGTAAAATAATTTTACATGTAGAAGAGACCACATAACATAAGACCTGGGTATGATAATTTGGGTACAATTGGTGACATTTGCCTGATCAAATGAGGTGAGAAAGGAGCTTAGATTTTAGAAGTACAGAAAAAAAGGTGAGTGTGAAAAACTGGTGGTTATAAAAGACTATCTTTTTTGTAACTTATAAAACACCAAAAAGTATAAAGTGAGGACTAAAAGTTCAAATGTAAGTAAGACATTGAAGAGAGGAGTTATTTGTTGATTTGCTTTGATTTATTTACTATAATTATCTGGTTAAAATTAACTTTAGTAGAATAATTAGAAAGAACTAGTTAGTAGGATGTTGAAAATGGAAAACAGAAACCCAAGAAAGAAGAAAAAACATTTTACAGAACTCCCCTCCATGATAACAAAGAAAATTATAGAAAAAAAGCAAAAATAAAGAAAAATACTTATTTAAGCCAAAACTTTAACAAACTTTGACATCTGATGACAAACTACAGGATATATCACATTTTGGAACAAAAATGTTTAACACTAAGTATAAATTACTCATCCAATGGGTTAAAATTCATTAAAAAAAAAACATACAAAAGTCATTAACCTTTGTATATCCAATGACATTGCATTTTAATGCATACAGCAAAAGGTGTTAAAATATAAACACAATTAAACAAAGCCCTGTTGGTAGTGGAACACATTAAAACACTTTTCCAGTGAGTAGGAGCAGAAAGGAGGGAGAAGTAGGGGAGGGAAATGGAAGATATCTGTAATACTATCAACAATAAAAAATATGTATTTAAAAAAAAACCACTTTTCCAGAACTCAGTAGGTCAAAAAATCAACAAATAAGTAAATGTACAAATGATTTGAATAGCAGGTTTAATTCTATTCACAAATGCTATTTAACTTATGAGGTTAGTCTAGATAAACCCATTGTATATTGAAAATATCCTAAGTCAAAATGCATTTAATACACCTAACCTACCAAACATCATAGCTTAGTCTAGCACACATCATAGCTTAGCCTAGCCTAAACATGCTCAGAACACTTACATTAGCACACATTTGGGCAGTTATATTGAGTTTCATGAGTAATTGTCTTCCTCTTCTCACCAAAGCAGGAGACAGAGATGAGCATTTTGTAGACATGATGGAATGCAAAAACACAATATCCAAAAATGCTGAAAACACAGTGCACTGTAGAGTATTGGTTGTTTACCCTCGTGATTGCATGGATGCTTAGGAAGAGCAGCTCTCTGGCACTGCCCAGCATTACAAGAATATTGTACTGCATTTTGCAAGCCTGGGAAAAGATCAAAATTCAAAATTTGAAGGTTTATGAGTATTGCTTTTATACCATAGTAAAGAAAAAAAAATCATAAGTGGAAACATGGTAGGTTGGGGACCATCTGTACATGAAATGTTGCACAATTTAATCATGTACTAAAAAGTAAATCATCTTATCATAAAACTGGGAGGAAAAAAAGTCATAAAGAGGAAATTCATAGAACAAGAAATATAAATGACTCGGCCAAGGTGGCTCAGTGATTGAGCATTAACCTATGAACTAGGAGGTTCATAGGGGTTCAACCCCCAGGGATGGGCTTGTGGGAGGCAACCAATAGTGAATATAGGCTCACAAACAGGGCTGAAAACATGAATCCCTTGTGAAGATCGTTCCAGCAGAGCTTGTAGCTGACCAGAGAAACAACATGAGGACTCACCACACATGTGTTTGTTTTTGGGAAACAATGGAATGTAGTTGGAAGAGGAAGACAAAGCCGTTATTCAAGAAATATTTTTTTTGAATACTATCTCCATGGCAGTTACTGTTCAAGGGGTCTTTGCTACAGCAGTGAACCAAAAATACAAATATCCTTGCCTTCACAGAGCTTGCAGTCTGGTAGGGAGAAACAAACATTATTCCTATATTGGTGATATTATGAATTATAAAGTAAAATACCAGTAAATTACCAGGAGTATAGGGGCTGGTTAGGAGTATTGCTGTTTTTATACAAAGTTGTCATTGAAGGCCTACCAAGATAAATTTTGAGGAGGTATCTAAAATAAGTGAGGAAACTATCTGGGGAAAAGGATTCCAGCTTGAGAGAACCACAGAGCCAAATACCCTAAATGTGTTTCTTATGCAAGAAATCTAAAGAGGCTAGTGAAGCTAAGATGAAATTAAGGAGGGCGAAGTAATCGGAAATGAGAGACTGGTGGGCTAAGCCATTTTTAGGTTTTTGGCTTTCATTCTGCAGAAGAGAAGAGAAGAGGAACTCACTAGAGGATTCTGAGTAAAGGAGAACACTTGGCTGAGGTCTGCATTAACGAATAGGGAGTGTTAATCAATAGCCTCCTGAAGGTAGCTGACAGAGACCATGTTGTCCTTTTATTAATAATGTACTAAATGTACTAATGTCTTTAATCTGAAGTCAAAACTTCTGAGTTAAGGGTAATGCCTTACGCAGTGGTCAGCAAACTCATTAGTCAACAGAGCGACAAACCACAGCGGCTCTCGAGCCGCAGTTTGCCGACCACTGCTCTAGCAGACCACAAGCTTGTCAGAAATAGAAGTAGAGAAGGCAGATGTTTGAATTAAACCAAGGTTCTACAATAGTTGCAGTATAACATGGAGGAGACTCTGAGAGACTCTCACTATGGCGAGTGCTTTCATGATGTACTAACAGGGACTGGATTTGCCCTTACATCTTAAACAGCTACACAAGTAGAAAAATACATAAGACAACAATTTCAGACAATTTATAACAGCTCAAAACAGTGACCCCTGAAGAAAAATAATAAGTGAAGTGAGACCTACAGTTGTCCAAAATAATCACCCACAGAAACTTTCCAGAGCAAAAAGAGATCCAATCAAAGCCCAGAGATCTGGCTGAGTAGAAGAGTGAGAGCTGGAAGTTTCAGGAAGGCCAAGATGGCTCGAATATGTAGGGAGGAGTGGACTTCAGAGAAAGGAACTGCATCGAGATAGTTCTAAAATTCTGCAGAGGGTTTCTCTTGATTTTCACATACATGGGAGAAAAGTAGCAGAGGACAAAAAAGGAAGTATTCAGAAGAAAGAGAATAAGTACAGAAAGGTCTAATGTTAACAAGGGATTGGGAAAAATATGTGTCCCAATCAGCCAGAGTGCAAAGGCTTCCAAATATAAGAATCAATATTGAATAGTGTTTAGAAGGATATTACTTCAGTTGTAGGGCTCTTAATATGTCCCATAAAAGCTTTTAAAACATTCCTGAAGATTTGTGTACATGCGTATGAGCCAAACCAGTGGTCATGGACAACAGGGGGGTGGAGCATGCTTGGGGAGGGGTTTGGTATGGGAATGGAGGGATGATGACAAATATGTAATACTTTAATCAATAAAGTAATTAAAAAAATACAAATAAATAAATAAATAAATAATAAAATCAAGCCTGAAAAAAAACAAACTCATTCCAACCAACTTAATTGTGCCCCAGAACCAACAGTTAACAGTAAACATGTTTAGATTTTAGACCATAGAATCTAGAGATATAGGTATAGGCTTTAACTAGATGTTTCAATTGCTTTTATTATCATGTAACTTATAATCAAAGATTTAAAAAGCATATTAGTCATATCCCAAAGGCCTGCCTCTAAGTCAAGATCCAGAGAAATATTTAAAAGTACACATCGCTTGAGATGTCAGAAAAATGCAGCTAGTTTAGTATAAACCAATGATAGCTTATCTATGGTTGGCAAACTGTGTCTCATGAGCCACATGCGGCTCTTTGGCCCCTTGAGTGTGGCTCTTTCACAAAGTACCACAGCCTGGGCAAGTCTATTTTGAAGAAGTGGCGTTAGAAGAGGTTTAAGTTTAAAAATTTGTCTTTCAAAAGAAATTTCAATTGTTGTACTATTGATATTTGGCTCTATTGACTAATGAGTTTGCCAACCACTGGCTTAAACAATAACAAAAGCCACAAGATTTGTTTTAAAGAGAACATCAATGGTACACAATCACGAAATAATTTGCAGAATCTTGGTTCCTCGGCATGATTAGACCACCACAGTAATGAAGGAACCAGACAAAATGATGTCAGAACTGAATTAATCAGACTAGAGAAAACCACTGAAGCTTGTACAAGAGCTAACCAATCAGCTTCACCCTCAGACCCTAACTCCTAGCCCTCAGTCTCCTTGATTAAAAACCACTGGGGAGTTTGGGTTTTAAGCAGTAGTTTCCCCCTCTCCTGACATGGTGCCCTGCCAATAAACTGCTCTAATGTTTTTCACTGCAAAACTCAGGATGCAGTCTTTGTCTCTGCTGCACATCACACGGGAGAACTTTCTTCAGTTCAGTAACGCTAGCAAGGGAGTGTGGGTCCCATGGGAGCCACGGACCCAGGGACAAGATCAGCTCATCGGTAGGCTCTTCCCCATGGAGCTAACCAAGTGCTAGAAAGATTGGCAACAAAGCAAGAAACCTGAAAAAGCCTCTTGTGTGCAGGTCTAAGAGGAAGGAAACAGAAGCTGTTGTGGAAAAGTCTCAAAGTTGCCCCGATCCTTCCATTCTTTCTCTTCTATAGAAAAAAAAAAAAAAAGAAAAGAAAAAAAAAAGGCTTCAAGTCAGCGAGGGAAACCACATGTCACTTCAGGACATATGTGAATACCCATGAAAGCTAGAAAAAGGGAACATAAAATAAAGCAGGGAAATGTCCTGAACCCAAATCATTAAAGAACCTTCACTGGAAGAGAGGCAGGATCCTGAGAAGGCCCTCCCTCGCCTTAAGATCCAAGTACCTCCCCTTAACCCCACTCCCACCCCCTTGCCAAGGCATATACCTGCCTAAGATGGAGGCTCTACCAGGACTCTAGAGAGTGCTCCCTTATCACCAACACCTGGCTGGCTCGAAGATCTGCTGGAGAGGGCTCTGTGTTTATTAGATTTACCAGTTGGAAGGTCCTTTCTAGGTTAGGGCAGTTTCAGTAAAGGGGTGGAGGCAATAAATAAATAAATAAATAAATAAATAAATAAATAAATCCCACAACATATTCCAATAAATGATAGCAGTCAAAGGAAAGTGGGGCCAACCAGTTTGGCTCAGTGGATAGAGCGTCGGTCTGCGGACTGAAAGGTCCCAGGTTCGATTCCAGTCAAGGGCATGTACATTGGTTGCGGGCACATCCCCAGTAGGGGGTGTGCAAGAGGCAGCTGGTCGATGTTTCTCTCTCATCGACGTTTCTAACTCTCTCTCCCTCTCCCTTCCTCTCTGTAAAAAATCAATAAATTATATATTTTTTTTTAAAAAAAAAAAAGGAAAGTGGGAAGTAAAGTAATATATCCACACTGCTCTTCTGAGGCTTAGTTTGAAAGAAGCTAGATGAGGCTAGAGAGAATATGCCAGAGAGTGGTTTATAGGCTCAACCCAGTATGTCAGTTCAATAAGAAGTGATTACAAGTAAATTCGTATAAATCATGTTGTTTTGGCCTTGAAATTTTCTATATCTTGACAGTGGTGGTGACTGTACAACTATGTGCATGCATCAAAGCTCATTGAACTTTTAGCAAGTGAATAGTATATCTTAGTACATTTCAACAAGTGAATTTTAGTGTATATAAATTATAACTTAATAGAAGTGGGGGAAAAAACAGTAACTATAGAAATCATTATAAATAAGTGTAAACCTATAGGCCAATATTTTTGGAACCTAGATTTTTTTTTTTAATTCACCTAATAAAAAAATACACACACACCTTGAGATAAGGATTTGAGTTAGTAAAAAGGAATTCACTGCCATCTAAACTCCATATATTCACAAGAGATACCAGAAAATGAAAGAAGTTTCAGTCAAAAAGACACCCACACTTCTGAAAATCTTTGATACAGACATTCATTAGTAACACATGGAGATAGAACTATAAACATGTCTATTACCTTATTGTTTGGATTAGGAAAAATAATCAAATTAATGAATAAAAATTAGAATGGTTAAATAAATTATGATATATGTATATATATATGTATTATGTGTACAGATATATTATGTGTGGTATATCTATACTATATATACTGTATAATATATATACACACTATAGAATACTTTGCTTTTAAGTTGCAGAATAACATGATCCCGTTTGCAGGTTAAGAAAGAAAGAACAGAATGAAATAATTTACATTAATGAAGTCAACACTCCTGGATATTTGCTACTGTCAAATATCTGTACTTTACAGCTTTAACTTATTAGACTAACAGTTTCAATATTGTCAAGAGTATGAATTCTTGAGCCAGAGTTTTCTGTTCAAATGCTGATTCCACTACTATGAGCTCTGTGACCTTAGAGAAATTACTTAACCACTCTGTGCCTCAATTTACTCTTCTATAAAATAGAAATAACCGCAAATGTCTAACTCAGGATTTTTGTAAGGATTAAATGTGTTACTACATAATAAAGAGCTAAGGATAGCACTTCGCTGATACATAGTAAACATTAAATATTTGCTGTTATTAGTAATGAAGTCCGAAATTTCAACTCATTCTAGAATCTGAAGTAAAAAATAATTAAGATCATAATTGCTTTAACTAGATTATCAGAGTCTAAGCAAGTTTCTTTTCCTTTATTATTCAAGAAAAGAAATAACCAAAAACCCATACCCAGAATTCTCCACAATGTCACTTTAAAAAACAAAACTATAATAAAACCATAATACTAAAGGTGTCTTTTCACAAAAAGGTAAAAGTATGCCTTACTCATCATATAATGCTATATTTTAAGCCTGTCACTTTTTTTTCTTTTCTTCACCTCCTTATCCAAAATTGTGCCCAGGTGCAGAAAAGGATTTGAGTTAGTGAAAGGGAATTCACTGCCATCTAAACTCCATATGCTCACAAGAGATACCAGAAATTGAAAGAAGTTTCAGTCAAAAAGACACTCGCAGTAAAGCTGAATTTTTAAAACTACATCTGTCATATTATGTGTGCCACATGAATCATTTGGTCGAAATGAGGACAAAAGGAACTCAGTGCTAGGACTGGAGGATATGTGCGTATTCCGTGTGTGTGTGTGTGTGTGTGTGTGTGTCTTTCTCACAGAACATATGTTATCCCACTTGGATTCTGGCAAAGGTGAAGTTGGACCATGTAATAAAATATAGTGTTACACAATCAAAATGTTGGGGGGTTTAGTCCTTATCTGAAGAAAAGCACTTGATTTGAATTTGGATGATGCGGCTGTGTTGACATTTTAGCTAGGCCTATAAAAAAAAGATTCTTTTATCTTTTCCAAATCAGCTCTTCTTTTTTTCCCTCCTCCCCTGGTGTGTGGCACTCAACAACAGGAAGGGAAACTTTGCAGATAATAAATGCAGCCGAACCATGAAAAAAAAATAAAATGGAATCGCTCTGCGACTCACATGGTGTGGCTATGGCAAGGCAGATCCTACCGAGTTGGAAGCATATCACCCTGAGCATCTGCACCACCACTCCTTGGAGAGCGCATACTAATCATCTCTCTTCATGGTCAGTAACCACATAAGGACACCACCAGACGATGCCAGTAGTTTTGATCCTGTAGCATTTATATGCTTCCCTGCAAAGATAGTCAATGCCAGATAATATCTGTCAACCTTGTCCTTGGTCTTCTCTCTTGATTGAGGCAGATGTTTATTTTCCATCTGTACTGTATGTCAGTGCAACTGCAGCCTTCATCAGGCAAAGGGTGCCTGTGATATTATGAGGCCATCACATAAGCTGCTGGAAAGATTACTCTAGTGAATAAAATCAGTTTATGGCTAGAAACATTTATTCTTCATTTTGATAAGCTCTTAACAAATGGAAATTTGCTTTCTTCCACTTTTGCCAAGCATAGGACCATGTTTATTTCTCTCTATATGGGTCACGAAGGATTCCCAGCTGTTAGCTAGAGTCAGTTGTGCATTGCTGCACTCAACAACATCTGTTTCACAAAAACAGTATCCAGCTTTTAGCGCTCAAATGGAGGCTATACCATATGCCGGCAGACCACTTAGTTTTTACCTTGGGAACTAACTTTACTCCAGTCAAGGTAACAGAGGAAAAGCGGAATATTTAAATGTTACCCAGCTTCAGTCACATCTTCATGTGGGCTCGTCATTTCCAACAACATATAGTAAAATTAGTTTCAAGCATATACCACAAGCTGTTCCTCTGTTTAATTATTAATTGGAAGAAAGTTTGTTTGCAAAACAGTTGAAATGTATTTAGTGATAGACCCTGATGTTGAAAGTAGTGCCATCAGATGATTTTGCAAACAGAGCATGTTAGTGACTATGATAACCTAATATGTTGTCTTAGAATTTTTTCATGTAATGAATATTTTAAAAATAATACAAACGAACGTTGAAAATCTATTTTTCTTAGTTAAAAAAAAATGAAGACATTGGTCCTATTTCTCCCAAAGGCCCATTTTAAGTACTGTGATTCTATAATAATGATTACTCAGAGAAATCTGTGTATTTTCTCTATGGTCAGAAGCATTCATTTTTTAAGGTTTCTTTGATGGTATGACAAATGCTAAGAGATTTTTCTGAGCCAAAACTCTAATTATGAAGCCAAGCATCAAAAACGACTTATCTGGACCTCAGTTGGAGAACATCTTAAGTCTCCTAGTTTCATTTTCAAAGACAGTAAGAAATATGTCCATCTGGGGACTGAATTTCTATAGAGACTCTAGAACAACCAAGTTAGAAACCTGATGAATAATTACCACAACTAATTATTAGGTTATTCAGATTTTTCATCTGTGAACTTGTACATAAGATTATAAATCCACCTCTGGATTAATCACCCAATTAAAAGGAAGAAATAAATAGGTTATTAGCATGAGCAGGCTATTCCAATCCTTAACTTTGGTTACCTTCTTCTTTAGAGAATTGCCCATTTTAAAAACTAAGTCAGGGTTTATGGCTTTGGGGAGAAATGTGGAGGAATATTTGCCAGGATCCTGATGCTGAGACATTTTCCAATAACATTGCAGCCATATTTCTTGGGTGGTGCAATCCTGTCTGAGTGGGATCAGCCCGGGAAAAAGCATTTATTCCACTTTCTGGAATCCTGATCACCCCACCCTGTGGATCTTAAGCCCTGCAGAGGAGT